GCTGGGCATGCGGGAGGACGCAGAACGAGCTCGGTAAGTCGCAGGTAAGCGCCTGACTGCGTGAAGGAACCGACCCATAAGCCTCACTCCCTCTTTACAAACAGAAACAAATAGTTCACATACAGAGGGGCAACTAACCATCCTGTTGTCCAATTCTTGAAATGTTCATAAGCAGAGCAGAATTTCTATATACAAAGTGCATTACCACACAGGCATGCAAAGTGATCATAGTCGCCGGCTTGATGTGACTCACTGTGACTGGCACAGCCGCACCAGCTGCATGAAAGGAACCCGGGCATAATGGGCAATAGTGAGCTCAATGCCACAAAGCAGTTCTGTAAGCACTGAATGGCACTGGAAGGGTCAGAGGGGTGTCATGGAAAGGGCTTCACCCAGGAGTGGAGCAGAGTCCAGAGTAAACACCTGCCCCCTGCGCTGGATTCAGCCTCCTGGGTGTTCATCCGATCTCCAGAGCTGAGCAAGACTCTTCACTCCCTTAACTTGTGAGGGATAAAACACTGCTCCTGCAAGTCCCCTCTGATGACAAGAGACATCGTAGAGTGGCCAAGCTAAGCAAGTAGGCATTATACACGCATGAGCCCTGCTCACGAGGTGTCATCACACCTTTCTGTGTGACTCTGATGCTCAGGTCGCTCTCAGTGTTCTGGGGGCTTTGCAGGGTCAAAGGAAGGTATACCCAACCCTTCTAGAAGATCAGGCAGCTGTCTCTGAAGTGACATCCAGCTGGCAATACTAGAGGCAAAAACACTTCACATTTTTTCAAGGATGGGTGGAGGCCACAGAGGCAATCCAGCCCACACCTACAGTAACAGATACAGAGTTTGAGTCAGTGAGTGGCAGGGTGTGGGCAGAATCCAGGGGCCCTGAAGACTTCCCATTGTGACCAGCTTGGGCTCTCATGAGTTGTCCAGAGATTCCCTCTCCGACACTCCCAGGAGGTCCCCCGGGAAATCAACAGGGAACAGGAGAGTAGGCGAATTCCTGCTGAATTCCGCTTTCCATAAGGCTGGCTGCTGGCCTGCTGGAGTACCAGGTCACTGGGCAGATGCCTAGGGAAGGGTCAGAGACTGCTGCTGGAATACAGGTCCGCACCAGCTGCCATGACGCATTTCAAGCAGTTTCTTGGATCTTCCAACTCGAGAGCCAACAGCCTGACTGAAGAATTAAATGTTAAATGTGGGAAGAGTTTTCCCCTTTTGTCTTGCATTGCTTCGGGGCTCTGATATGGTTTTTGCAAAGTTCTGCCATCTCCCAGTACCCCACCAGAGATATCATTTACAATGTAAGCATTTATGACAGTCTGGATAGATTATTGTGCTACTGAGGGTGCATTTCTTTTTCCTACAAAGCTGATCTAGTGACTGTATTCCTAAATGAATTTAGTAAGGAGGCACAGACCAAAAGTGTGGTAGTCCACACAGTCCATGAAGTGTTTCTCTTATTTTGCACAATCTGTCTGAGCTGCCAATTGAACAGCAAGTTCTTTTCAAAGTAGATCACTGTGCCTGGTGTTAAAAGGTGGCTTAGAATCTCTGCTCCAGAATGGCCCTCCTCTAAGACACTGTATGTAGGAGTCATACCTTAGTCTTTTTATTCTATAATAAGGACTCATGGAGAGATGGAAAATGGGAATACATTGGCATAACTATTTTGAAAAAAGCAAGGAAAAATTCAGCCAGCTTCCTAATGATATGCTTCATGCAGTGCCAAAGGAAGGCTGTCCCCTGTAATCAAATGATTTCACATTGTATCATCCATAAACTCCCCCTCTTAACACAGAGAGACCTTTTAGACAGTAAACATGTCAAGATTTGAGGGCAGCCCCACCTAGGTAGACCTAGAATGTCATTAATCAAAATGCAAACTGATTCTATTTCTGGTCTTGGTAATCAACTATGTAAAACAGTTGCAATGACAAGAATGCCTGTGGAAACATGAGGTTATATTTATATTAATGGGGGCAATTCTTCCTCTTAATTATGTGATTATTTGAACATTTGCAGTTTGGTTACTAAGTGAAACTGTAACCAATTCTTCATAAATCGTCACATAATTTTCACTGAGTTTGTCTGCGGGCGCCTGCACACACACACACACACACACACACACACACACACCTCAGAATCTCAGAAATGGGGAAGATAGGAAGCAGAAAGCCAGGGGATAAAAAATGGAGGCTATTGATTCATAATATAAGCTGCAGGTTCCAAATTAAAATAGCACCAAGAGAAATGGTGAAAGCACAATTCTGATAACAGCTTTCATTAAGGAGTGTGAAAACTAACAAATGCACCTGCCCTCCACATGCATCTAGGGTTTTGAGACCCCTTTCAAGTAACTTCTGCTTGCTAGGGTTGCATGCAAAATCAGTTGCAAGGCCCAGCACCAAAATGAGCACACACAGATGCACCATTGCAGTGACTCCTCCACACGCAGGCTCCAGGCTCACTCGGCACCGTCGCCGTCCGTGCCTCCTAGGGTAGTTTTCTAAGCACCTCCACACAGCTCACAGAAGAATCAACACTACACTGTGCTGGGAGACGAGATGGAGAAACACTGCAGAACAAGCTCTTGTGATTCAAAGAAATTCTCAAAGGTATTACCTGCAAGTGGTATCTGAGAAGCGGGGAAATCCTCACCAAAAAAGAAAGAAAGAAGATGGACAAGGAAAAGGAGAACCAAAGAACAAAGGAAAGAGAAAGAAAGAAAGAAAGAAAGAAAGAAAGAAAGAAAGAAAGCTAGTAAATGCTAGGCATATGTAGGAATTTTTCTCCTGTTTTCTAAGTGAACAATGAGCATACTTACACTAATAAAAATATGTAAACATAAAAGATAAACAGTATATTTGTATAAATGCTTATATACTATATATGTTTGTATGCATATATGCATATGTATATGCACACAATTGTGTATGGTAAAATTCTAGTTCTAAAATTTTACAGATATTTTAGTAAAATAAAGAAACCCTAAAAAAAAGAAAGAAACTCTTATTTTTTTTCTGTCCCAACCAACATTGCTACTAATTAAAGTATTCTCTATGTGTATCTAAAACTGCCTGCCCTGTGAAGTGCAGTCCATTTCCCCAACACTGGGCTCCTCTAACTCTCCCCATCTTGATGAACACCTCCAGATGAACTGACAGCTCCCGGATGAAACCCTTTCAGCCGGAGGGGAAAAGACAGTAAGCAAAGTAAGAGGATGAACGAGCTAAACATCAGAATACCCTTAGAGGAAGCCCAAGGCGGATCATGGTATCACCGTTTTGCTACAAACAACAGTGAAGTGCAAGAAAGAGTAGCTATTACAAATGAGAATCCAAACAACACTGAAAGTATTTCAGATATTATTTAAGAATTCAAATGCTGCAGTCTGTGAGAAGTATTTTGGGGAGTGTTTTTGCTGTTGTTGTTGTTAATATATTTGCTGGTGTTATTCTTAAATTGTGGTACCACCTAAATGTCTACAAACCCTGGCTCTATTTAACTGTATGGTTTTTAATGCAGTGAACCCTTCACACACAAACAAAACAAAACATCAAATATATCTGCTTTGGACCGAGGGAATAAGATAAAATATATGCCTGATGTCATCGTGACTACTTTAGGAAAAATCCACACAGGCAGGGGAGCCGAAAGTGGCGAGAGCAAGACAGCTAGCGAACTTTACATTCTAAACTCCCGAAGGGGTGGGGAGGGGGGCAGGCATGTCACACTATTTCTCCTCTCATTGATCACAAAAGTCACAAGCCAGACACTGAATAACACAGAGCGGCAACTCTTGCTAGAGTGAAAGGGACCAGAGTTGGAAAGCCCACGTAAAATCAAGTGAGGTATAACTCAGCCACTGTCCAAGGCTCACAAAGAACAGAATAAGATTACAGCTCCAAAGCTTACTCTTTGGAGTGAGCTTAAACCAACCTGGTATCAAACAAATAAGCAAACAAAAAAAAAAAAAAGGCAAAGAAAATTATTTGTAAAGACTCCTGTAACATACAAGTTCAACAAGGCAAAACTACAGAAATTTTTTAGATTTTCTCGTGGTCTGCAAGAGGCAGCTAGCAATAGTCTTGAAGTTGTGGTGCTCTTTGCAGCCAACCTCAGAGACCAGGCAGAGAATGAGAACATTATTGGAGCGGTGCAGCCCTCAAATAAACAACCTGCTGTGCGAATGTTCTTCATGGGAAACCTGCTTATTTTCCCCCAGAAAAGTCTCTCGCCATTCCAATAGCTTCAGAGCATTTTAGCCCCCAGCAGGAGGGTGAAACTAGGTTGTCAACTCAAAAATGTTTTTCTCACTGCCCCACCGCCCACTGGAGAGGATGCAAAACCCGGTGCGCAGAGCTGGGCACCGCGAGACGGAAGGGAAGGAAGCAATGAGGTCACGCAGCCGCCTGGTCTCGCCAGCTCAGCGTTCTCTCACCACAGAGGTCCCTACCCAAGTTACAAAGCCCACAGCAGAAGGGCCATTCTGGACCCACAAGCAGGTGTGGCAAGACACAGCTGCCCACTGCAGCCTCCGACATGACTCACACGTGTGTGCGTGTCTTCACCCGGAAGGATGGAAGAGTTTGCGGGGCGGCAGATCACCCCGCACCTCCGGATCCTGAGACGCCCCCCACCCCCAGCACCCAAGGTTCTGTCTTGCCCACATCCCCCAGATCCCTTGCCCGCTGCTGTGATTTACCACTGCGAACACATTTCCCCATTTCCCCGCCGCGGCTTCAAGGACAAAGAGAGAGCACTTCTGTTTCCATCGCAGCCCAGAGAGCTCGGGTGATGGTAAAAGGACAAAAATACAAACAATCCAGACAAATGGCCCCTGGCATTGTACTTCGCTGGATCCTCCCAGACCGGGATCCATGAGAACAGAAGAAAGGCAGAGAAGGAAGGTCACCAGGCTTAGCTGGGGAGAACGGGACTGAGCGGGGATCTCTCACTGCAGCAGAGCCAGGCAGCTCATTCAAAGCAAGCACTTACCATAAAAATAGAGTCAACAGAAGGAGAAGCAATCCCTCCTCAGCTCTTGGGCACGGAGAAATCTGCTGCAGCCCGGCAGGCAGGCTCCACTCCGAAGGCGTCCACCAAAGTGAAGAGGGATGACAAAACCACCATACACACAAGTCCTTCCCAGCCTCCCCGCAGGCCCGCATGCAGTTGTTTGTGTGCCTGGGAACCCTGAGAAGTCTGGAGCAGGACTCTTGGAGAGCGCGTCAGCCGAGCCGGAGTGAAAGCAGCCCTGTGAATCTCACCGCGGCCGGCCTCAGAAGCATCGCGCAGGACTAGTCCTCCCCTGGGGTTCAGGGGCGGCTTGGGGTGTGGGGGGACCAGGCTGGACTCGGGGAGGAAGGAAGAAGGAGGGGAAAGCGCCTTTTCAGAGTGGAAGGAACTGCTGGTGAGAACATCAGTATTCCATATCAGTTATTGTCAGCGACCAATCAGCCCAGCCAGGGGGCCGTGTCAGCGTGACAAGAGCAGCAGATGACAGCCGGTCCTGGCAGCAGCGGCAGGACATCCCCCTACCTGGAACAGAAGTTTGGCAGGATTGGCATCCGACCCTCTGCCCTGCTGCTGTTAAAACTGCTTGTATATGCCAACTCCCAAAGGCCCATGGTGACACTACGCGGCATGGGAAGTTTCGGAGCATCTCAGCAAAAGCCAATGTTAAGCCCACCCCAAACGATGTCTATAGCATCTCACAGACCAGACAGCACTGCCGATGGGCCTCAGGGAGGTCACCATGACACAATAATGACACTAGCATCTGAGCTTCTTTATACCCAATGTGCGGATTGAGACAGCCAGGGACTGAGTTTTCTATGTCATAAGGGAACTTTAGAGAGCAAAGGGTTAAAGGTCCTCTACAAATCTGACCCTCTGGCCTCATTAGTTTTCCTGTGTAGCACTATGTACAGAGGTACTGTTACAGGTGAGTGACTACAGTTAGTAATATTTCCTTTCAAGATCTCTTCAATCGCCCCTAAAACAGAGCATATTATTTTGGGTAAATAATAATCATAATTCATATGCACACTGGAGTTTGGGAAACTTGGAGCTAACTTAATGGAAAGGAGCAAATCCCTTAATGGTCAAAGAAGGGTCTGAGAAGAATTCTAAATGTCTCCTATTTGTTTTTTTTCTCCATTCTATTTTAGTGCCCTATAAACACAGGTAGATGTACTGGTATTGGAGTATGGTCATTAAATTAAAGCACAGAGTGATTTCTGAAGTTAAATGCTGGCTGAGCAGGATGCTGCCGTGCAACTCCAGTACTGTTTAACTTGGAGAAGTGTCTCAGGCCACCTCCTTATCTTGACGAGGAAGCAACTCTTGGCCAGACAAGAGTTAATAGGAAGACCCAAAGCCACTGCTTTGTTTTGTCACAGGTGATGCTTCTAACTTTAACCATGTGTTTTTACTTAGGAGTTGGGCTTTCCCTGGGTGTGTTGGTAGGACTTCCACCCACATTGAGCTGGAGAAGCCTCAGTACCAAAGCTCAACAAGGAGGTCTGAGCTCCAGGGAGGCAGCGAGCACAGCACCGAAATGAGTCACTGCGGGAGGCTGTGGAAATGCTCCACATCAAAGATGCACATAATGAGATGAAATCTATTAAATGAAGAGGGAAGGACAGTTTGCCAGGACAGTCCGAGGGAAACTAGACTCTATTTTATTTTTCATCACAGTTCGGCTCTGAGCAACACATCCATAGCGTATCAACCACATGTCCAGATGCAGAGATGCGTTCCTGCCTTCAAGAAGCGTATAGTCTCACAAGCAAATTTACATCCTGGGTTTAAAATTTCAGCATGATGACTCTGGCCAAGACATAAATGTTCTACTTTTTAAATGGTTTTCGAAAAAAAATCAAGTCATGAGGTTAGATTTCAGCCTCAAAGCCCTGAATTTGCCCAATGTAGTATTTTCTACAATCAAACCCATCTGGGAAACAAATGCACAAATAAATTTTTAAAAACTGAATTACTATGTGAGGTCTTTTAACTGTTTGTTTTTATCAGCATCAACAGCTTCAACACTGCAAAAACCATGGGCAGCATATCAAAGGAAATACTTAACAGGAATATTATTTAAAGCTCCTAAATTAATTGAGATTAATAGTATTTATGAAACAGGTTCAATACCTTGAATAGATAGAAGGATAATGAAGCATGAAAAGGATAATTCTGCAGAAACACAAATGCCCCAGGAGATTAAAAATTGCACAGCTTTACATGACAATTAGGTCAACGAAAATGAGTATTCCAGTCATTTACCCACATGCAATTAATTTTTAAAGTTTGGACACTTCTCCAGTCCTCCTTCCTCAAAAGTCAATAGAAATGCCTCACACTCAGACAGCAGTAAATATCAATTAATTTTTTCAGTGTACAGAATGGTTATCCAATTCAATGAACCTTGGGATGGTATCACAGCTGTCTTGTTCACGCATAGGAAGCCAGCACTAGCATATAGTAGGTTCTCAGTAAATACATTTTGGATGGCTATTTGATTGGCCAAGAAAACCCAGCTAGAATTCTACAATGGCATGATTTAATGTTTTATTTTAAGACTACAAGATAATTTGCATTGTGTGCCTATAAATTAAATTATGTATTCATACCTGCCATCTATTTTAAAAGAGAAAGGGAATTTGCTTCCAAGAAGCTTGCTGACAAGCCCTGGAGAGTCTTAAAAATAAGGATTTCTCCCAACCAATCTTCAGCACAGGGTAGGCACAGTTCATGGAAACTGGATTCTACTTTCTATAGCCAGGCTGTGGAGAAAAAGCAAAAGCAAAAGCAAGCTGATTTCCTAACTCATCACAAGGGCACACGGCCATGTATTTCCATTTTGGACACCAGAGCCTGGTAGAGGAAGCATGAGAATCAAAGACTTTTAATCAAACATTCTGTCAGTTGATGATTTTGAAAGCTAAGGTGTAATTTGCATAAGGAAGAGCCTCTTGTCTGACTTCTGTACGCCAGTGTCTACAGGGACTGGTGTTTGCCAAGCCTACTTTGTAGCGGTTTTTATTCTATGTTCCATGTGTCTCTTTTAGTCTGATCTGAGTACTTCTAGGACACAAGAGTCATGGACTTAGGGCTCCCGGGCCTCGGTAGAGCTACAGAGCTCGACCAAGAGGCAGATCCAGGACAGGCTCAACATGTATCCTCTTTTTCATGGAAACATCCTGACTTGAACATGGGGGATTACATGAATTTGGGCGAAGTATAAATGGGAGATTTCCAGTTAGAAGCAGGAAAAAACACATTTTACTCACAAATTCAATGTAAACCTTTTATACAACAGAAAAAATTCATGATCTTACAATTTAAAGGGAAAATAATTTGAATTTGTTGATTAATTTTTCCCAGTGCAAACCCTGACATTATATTTTAAGGGCAGGGAACATCAACTTTAATTAGTAGAAGGATAGAAATCAAGAATATTCCAGAAAAATGTGGGCCTGATGCAAGCATTAGAGTACAGCCCTTTATATAGTCCCTAAATTCACTTCTGGCCTTCAGTGGGAACCCAGAAATCAGAGCTTCAGTGCAACCGCTACTGTTTCCCTCCCAGAGATCGCTCATTGGCTGCGAACAATTTCCTAGACGATTTCCCCGCCTAAAAGACTGGCTCTCAAATACACAAGTCTAAATGCATAAAGGTATCTGTGGCACACAAAGACAATCATAGCATCCAAGTCCTTGAAAATTTGCTTTCACTCAGCATTTCTCAACCAGACAGAGCCTATGGGATTATCAAAGATCAAACCTTACAAGAAGAATTCGTAAGATCACAGCCCTAGACCTTTCTCCTCTCCTTCTGAAAGATAGAAAAATAAATCAATGCCTGATCTAAAGATCCTTGGAGAACAAGCTTGAGTCTGAGAAAACCAAACTAAAGAATGTGCACAAGTGCACACATGCATGTGTATGTGTGTGTGTGCGTGTGTGCACACATGAACACACACACTCACATGGGTACATGTTAGAAAACTAGTGTGTGTGCATCCAAAGTCCTACTGAAGTGTCTCCATGTCTAATTAGCCCTGAAGTCTTATTGTTACCTGTACATTGTTTTCCAATCAATGTTAGGAATTTCAACCAAGTCAGGGCCTCCTTCTTTCTCTTATACTATTACAAAGGCTTCTAACCTCTTTCCGGTTCCAAACCAGCATTAGCATCTTGTATCTGAAGCCAAGCAAATGCGACCATGCAGTGTGCTTGCTAACCAAGCTTCTCAGGCCAATGTTCAGGGCCCTCTGCTATCTGACCTTTGCTTACATTTCTAGCATCACTTCCAGGTACTTCCTCTCTGTTCTGTGCCTTACTACACTTGATTACCCCTTATTCCCCACAGACACTGTATCTTTGATCATGGTAATCCATTTCTCCTAGAATAACCTTCCTTGCTCCTCTCCCTGGAGAAATTGCACCATTCACCCTTCAAGGCCAAGTTCAGTGTCATTTTCTTCTTGAGGAATGAGATTTCCCCCAGTGACTTAATAATTTCTTATATTTCCTTAACATTTTTCTAGTCTTGTACTACCAAATACAAATAACACATGCACTGTGCTAAATTAGCACCTTTAACTTAATTGGAATTCTTTGATACTCTGGGCATAACATGCACCAGAGGATCTTGGTAAGTACACAGTGATCAGCTCTGTCTTCTCTTGATGTTTTCTTCTTTTTTCGTTTGAACTATCTAAAGCACTTGGAAGAAAGCACAAGGCTGGGCACGGTGGTGCAGCCCAGTACTAAGGAGGCTGAGGCAGAAGGATCGTTGCAAGTTCAAGACCAGTCTGGACTACAAAGTGAACTCAAGGCCAGCCTCAGCTGTGCAGTGAGACCCTGCCTCAAAAAGACAAAAAAAAAAAAAAAAAAAAAAAAAAAAAAAAAAAAAAAAA